GCCCTGCCTATTTTCTGTTCAGACCTTCTCTCTTGGTGATTTCCTCAGCCTCCATGGATTCAATGATCTCTATGGAGCCCCAGTCTCTTTCCTGAGCCCCACATCTGGATCAACAACTGCCTAGTGGGCATTTCAAACCCGATGACCAATGGGCACCTCAAAGCCCCCACATGTCCAAAGCAAATCTTCTTCATTATCGCCTCTGACTCTTAGAATCTTTTGTTGTTCAGTTGTTTTTCAGTCATGTCTGACCCTTAGTGACCCTATTTGGGGTTTTCTTGTCAGAGTTACTGGAATGGTTTGCCATTCCTTCTCCAGCTCATTTTACAGATGAGGAAACTGAGGCAAACAGGGTTAAGTGACCTACCCAGGGTCACACAGCTAGTAAGTGTGGATTTGAATCCAGGGTGATGAGTCTTCCTAACTCCAGGCCAGAAGCTCTATGCACTGTGGCATGCAGAACCAGGAAACTGGAACTTTAAAATGTTCCACCACAATAATAGGATTTGAACTTGAACAAAACAATAATGGTCATGTATTTGCTGGCTGTTCCCTTCTGGTTCTCTTCTATTTCCTTCTTTATAAAGTCTTCTTGCTGCAGTTAATCCTAATCATATTGTCAAGACTTGCTCCTGGGAGCAGCTAGGTGGCGCAGTGGATAGAGCACTGGCCCTGGAGTCAGGAGGACCTGAGTTCAAATCCAGCCTCAGACACATAACGCTTAGTAGCTGTGTGACCCTGGGCAAGTCACTTAACCCCATTGCCTTAAAGCAAACAAACAACAACAAAAAGATTTGCTCCTGCTAGGATTCCAGTGACCTCATGATTTTTTGGAACACCTAGGACACTTCTACTCATCTGGGCTTTGGCCACCAATACCTTGTATTGTAATTTATCACTCCCTCTCTCCCTTCCCTCCTTCCCTCCTTCCTTCTTTCCTTCCTCCCTCCCTTCCTTCCTTCCCTTCTTCTTTCCCTCTCTTCCTTCTTCCCCTCTTTCCTTCCTTTTTTCCTTCTTCCCTTCCTCCCTCCCTCCCTTTTTGCCTGCCTTCCTTCCTTCCTTCCTTCCTTCAATAAATGCTCAGTAACTGCCTATGATATACAAAGCAGTTTGCTAGATCTATGTAGACACAGTGTGTTGCCATAGAAAGAGAGCTATGATGAGAGTCAGGAGACCTGGCTTCAGATCCTGACTCTGTTACTTGTTATTTGGGTGACACTAGGCAAATCACACCACCTCTCTCACTCTCAGTTTTCCTCATCTGGAAAATGGGATAATGGTTCTTGTACCAGCTATCACGCAGATTTGCTGTGAGCAGGGTGTTTTGTAAATCCTTTAGCCCTATATAAATGGGAGATACTGTTAGGAATGAATGGGAAAAAAATGAGTAATAGCTAGCATTTATAAAGTGTTTACAAAGCACTTTATAAATACGATCTCATTTGATTTTCACAGCAACCCTGGGAGGTGGGTGCTATTATTATCCCCATTTTACAGATGAGGAAACTGAGGCAGATGGCGGTATAAGTGACTTGTCCAGGGTCACATAGATAGTAAGTGTTTGAGGCAGCATTTTAATTCGTCTTCCTGACTCCAGGCCCAGCACTGTATCCACCAAGCTGAGTGTTAAGTGCTGACTTTATTCCAAGTACTTTGCTAAGTACCCAGGACACAGACCTGGCCCTCAAGGAACTCCCCTTCTGACAGAGGGAGACAACACACGTGGAATGGCTCAGCTTCAAGGGGGATGAAAAGGATAAATAGTCCCTCAGGTGTAGTGGCAGGGTGGAGGGTAACCCATTTTTGTTAGTCATTTCCATTGATAATGCATCAATGATATAGTTTACTCCCAACTAGACAAGGGGCTCCCAGGAGGCAAAGGCCATGCCTTATTCCCACTGGCATCCTCCACATCCCCTAGCACAATGCTCTACACGATAGGTCCCCAACAAATAGCTGGAGAAAGAACAGACAAGTGGAATGCAATGTGGTCGAATACAAACAATGAAAATACTGACTTTCTCATCGGAAACCCTAGGTTTGGCTTATGTCTCTTCCACTTACTCTGTGTGGCCTTGGGCAAGCAATGTGACCTCTCTGGGCCTCAGTTTCCACCTCTGTAAAATGAAAGGGTTGGACTCAATTGCCCAGAAATTCACCTCCCGTGTCGCCCTCCCTATGGATGCCCTTAGCCTGGATGTGACCCATGGTTGTCATACAGCTCCTGGCCACATGCTGGCAGGATGACAACAGGAATGGCCTTAAACTGGCTTAATAAGAGGTAGCAGATGTCCGGGGTCCATCTGGCTTAAAGGCCATCACAAGGGAGATAGTGCCTAGGTAGAGAGAAGCACGATCTATGGAGGAATATGGTGGGAGCCCCAAAAGGGGAGAATGAAGTAATCAAGATGCTCAGGTCCCCAGAGAGTCCTTCTTTCCTTTCCTATTATGGATGAGCATCCTTAAGTTCCAAGCTTTGTAGCATCCATGGGAGAAGGGACCTTGGAGATGGGTTATTCCTACCCTAGTCACTTTATGGAGGAGGACAGACAGATCACAAATAGAAAGGCTTAGATTTGAATCCGGGTCATTTGGCCCCAAATCTAGTTTTCTTTCCCCTGTACTATACTGCCTCCAACCGCTGGGGAAACTAGACACAATCACATGGAATCTATTTTAACTAGGAAGGGGCCAACTGGGTAGATGCCCCAGGCACAGCTTAGATGGGGGCTGCTGGATTGGACACAGAAGCAACCTCAGCACAGAACAGTGACCCCTTGTTTCTGAGTCTTCACTTGTCCCCAGATCAACGGACCCTGATCAATGGACTTCTATTGGCCCAAGGCCTAGTAATGGGTTATAACTGTCATAATAGTACAGTGGAAAGAGCTCTGTCTCTGGAATCCAAGGTCCTGGGTTTAAATTCCACTTTTGATATGTATGACCTTAGACAAGTCACTTAACTTCCTTGGGCCTCAGTTTTCCTCCCCTCCCTTCCCTTTCCCTTCCTTCCTTTCTTTCTCTCTTTCTTTCTCTCTTGCAAAGACACTCAAGTGGTTTGCCATTTCCTTCTATAGTGGATTAAGGCAAACAGAGGTTAAATGACTTAACCAAATTCATACAGCTAGGAAGTTTCTGAGGCTGAATTTGAATTCAGGTCTGCTTACTCCATGCCTGGCACCTCTATCCACTATGTCATCTAATAGCCTTGGAATCTTAGTTACAATTATTTAAATGGTCATGAAATCTTTTCTATTGATAGCACTGCTAGCCTTTCAGTCATCTGATTTTATATCTCAGTCATCCCCCACCCTTCTCTGTCTCTGTCTCTGTTTCTGTCTGTCCTTTTTTCTGTCTGTCTCTCTGTTTCCCTCCCTCCCCCTCATTCCCTATAGGCAATCAATTTTCCATTCAGTTCCATAGTATCTCTTCCTCTGCTCCCTCTGTCCACTCATAAGACCACCTCCCTGGTCCTAGACATCATCAGTTTTGGCCAGGACTATTACAACAGCTTTCTATCTGATCTCCCTGCTCTGGGCCTCTCTTTACTCCAATTCATCTTCTGTACAGCTGCCAAAGTGATTTTCCTTAAGCACAGGACTCTCCATATCAGTCCTATACTTCATAAACTGCAGTGATCCCTATTACCTCTAGGAAAAAATAAACTCTGCTGACATTTCAAGTCCTTCTTTAGAATCTGGTTCTAACCTACCTTTCCAGGATTATTCTATATTGCTCCCCATTACACAGTCTACGGTCCAGCCAAACCCAAATTCACAAAATGTCTTCAAATATTTGGAAGGCTGTTCTGTGTCAGTCACTCAACCAGCAGCATTTGTTAGGTGCCTACTATGTGCCAGGCATTATGCTAAGTGCTGTATGAATGTATCCTGCTTGGTACCAGAAGACATATCTTTGAGAGCAATAGGGGTATTTAATTTTCCTGTACTTATTCTCTATATTTATTCTGTATTTCCATATATATACACACATACATGTATATGTGTATATGTGTGTGTGTGTGTGTGTATGTGCATACTCATCTTTCATGTTGGAATTTGTAGGCTCCCTATGAGAAGAAATTATTTAATTTATTGGGCCTATATCACCAGTGCTTAGTATAGTGGCTGGTACGTAGTAGACCCTTAATAAATCCTTGTTAATTGATTTATTATAGTGGCAAAGAGACCAGTTTAGGCTTGAAGTTAGGGGGGAAAGCTAATAACTTCCTAACAATTAGAGTTGTCCTAAACTGGAATGGACTTCCTCAGGAGGTAGTGAATTCTCCATCACTGCAGATCCTGGTCAGGGGTATTGCAAAGGGTATACAAATTTTTGTTGTTGTTTGGTAGGTTTTTTTAAGTCATGTCTGACTCTTCATGACCTCATTTGGGGTTTTATTGGCAAAGTTAGTGTAGTGGTTTGTCATTTCTTTCTCCAGCTCATTTTACAGATGAGGAAACTGAGGCAAACAGGGTGAAGTGACTTGCCCAGGGTCACACAACTAGTAAGTGTCTAAGGCCAAATTTGAACTCAGGAAGATGAGTCTTCCTCATTCCAGGTCTGGCACTCTATGCACTATGGCGCCACCTAGCTCCCATGCAAATGTTAGCTGTTAGTATTTGAATCCTCAAATTAGAAAGGAACTCAGAAGTCATCTAATACAAATAGATCAAGAGCCCCCTTTACATTGGGGAAGACTAGGTGATACAGTGAATAGAGTACTAGATGTAGAGTTAGGAAGGCCTGAGTTCAAATTTAGTCTCAGACACCTTCTAGGAGTGGGATATACATACATACTTATACACCTACATGCATGTGTATGTATACAATATACATATGCATGTGTATGTGTGTGTAAAGCATATATGGGTGGGGGGGAGGTGGTGAAAAAAGATGCAGGAGCAGAGGATCTAGGGAACTGGGTCTTATGTGGAGCTGAGGTGAGGCAGTGCCTGACAAACCTAGCGGGAGCAGGTCAGGACCAAGGATAGGGTATCCAGGGTCTTCGGCCACTGCGCTCCTATTCTGTGTGTCCTACTGATCTCTGGCAGAAAGGTAGGTTTCCTAATCACATGCCAAGGTATGTATATAGTGTCTGACTGTTGTCAATGGTGCTAATAGTTCCTGGATAGGTCTAACTAATCCTCCCTCTCTCCCTTCCTCCTCCTCCTCTCTATCTGCCTCTGTCTCTCTCCTCTCTTCCCCCTCCCCTCCCCTCCCCTCTCCTCTCCTTTCCTCTCCTCTTCTCTCCTGTTCTCTCATCCTTACTTTATAGAACTCCTACTCAAGTCTCAGGTCTCATTGGTCTGGCTTTCTGGCTTCAAACCAACCTGTTAAAAAAAAATCTGCAAAGCTGGTTGTGCAAATAATAGCATACACCACCAGATTTGATTAATTAACTGAGCAAAAAATGATGGGGGAACCAGTGAAGGAAATAATTATGCAAAACAAAATGTGTCAAGTTTATAAAGTGCCTTTCTCCTTCCTGCCACCCCAAGGGCTAAGTCTGTGCTCATTCTCCCCTTGATAGGGCTGAAGGGAATATGTAAATACCCCCAAAACTCACCTACCTCCTAGCCCTGGGGAGGATTAAAGTAGTGAGGAGGGAGGGAGAAAGGGAAGGAGGGAGAGAGGCAGAGTTGTGAGGTGTGGGAAGTGGTATAAGAATAATAATAATAACTGACGTATATCAGTATACATACATACTTATACACCTACATGCATGTGTATGTATACAATATACATATGCATGTGTATGTGTGTGCAAAGCATATATATGTACACATACACACATATATATCTATATCTATATATCTTAAAGCATCGTGTATTTATTAGGAAGTGATTGAGGAAGTTCCCTGACCTGTTTGAATGAGGCCTCTACCATGGAGCTGGCCATGAGTGCTCTGACTTTATGGGATCTCCCATCATGCCAAGCTATAAGAAAGGTGCTTTATTCTAGCAGGTCAGGGAGGTTTCCCTGATCTCCTCCTATTGTATATATAATGCTTTATGGTGGACTTTGAGAGGCATTAAGGCATAGTGGTCAGAGTGCTGGGCTTGGAGACCAGAAAACCTGGGTTCAAATTCTGCCATTATGCCTACTAGTTGTATGACATGGATTAAATCATTTCACTTCTATGTGCTCTGGAATTTATCTACTAAGTTGTCAGTGAGTTGTGATTTATGTTGGTAGAGAGAGTTCCACACTGAGAGATCCCCTGCCCTTACTACCAGGTACATTTAAGGTTTGCAAAATGTTTTACAGGCCTTATAAACATTGGAGTTTTGTAATAACCTGGAGAAGTGGAAACAATTAGTATTATATTATCCTTGTGTTCCAGATAGGGAAACTGAGGCTCAGAGAGATAAGTTTCTGGCCCAAGGTCACACAGGCTATATCCTAAGTGGGGTTTGAATCCAGGTCTTCTCCACTGTAGGTCTGGCACTCTATCCACTCTGTCAGGCTTCCTCTTGAAGAAACATAGTGGGATAGCTGTCCAAGGTTCAGGCAACTGAGTTGAATAGGATGGAGAAGCAGGGTATTGAGCGGACAGACAACTGTCCACTTGTGTCAGAATTCTTCTCCTGCCCTCTGCCTGTGCCTTTCCCTCTTCTTTTCACACAGTGATAGGACTTAGGTAGCGTATACGTTCTGTGAGGACTGGAACTGTTTCACTTTTTATCATTTTATTCTCAAGGCTTAGCACAGTGCCTGGCACATAGGGATAGAGACTGAATCTGTGATTTCAGTGATAGCAGGAACTTTCCAGGACTCCTACCACTGCAGGTCAGCCCTGCCATGGGACTGAGAGTCCTGAGAGTCTCCTAGGGCACCGTGAGGTTTAATTGGCTTGCTCAGCTGGGGTCACACAGTCAGTATGTGTGAGAAGCAGTACTTGAACCCTGGTCTTTCCAGCTTAAAGGCCAACTCTCAGTCCATACAGCCACTATATTTGGCACGTAGTAGGTGCCTTAATGAGGACAGCTAGGTGGCACAGTGGGTAGAGAGCCCAACCCATCTTCCTGAGTTCAAATCTGGCCTCAGGCACTGACTAGCTGTGTCACCTTAGGCAAGTCACTTCACCCTGTTTGCCTCAGTTTACTCATCTTTAAAATGAGCTGGAGAAGGAAATGGCAAACCACTGAAATATCTTCACCAAGAAAACCCCAAAGGGGGTCATGAGAAGTTAGATACAATTGAAATGACTGAAAGACAAAAACAACAAAATGTGCCTTAATGAATGCTAGTACATTGACTGATTGATTGGGAACTGGAGGGGACCTTAGGGATTTTGGTGGGACCTTAGGATCAAAGTCCACTGAGTTTAACCTGTACCTGTCCAAGAATCCCTTTTCTAACAAGAGGTCATCTAACTTTGGTTTGAAAACCTTCAGTGAGAGGAAACCTACTAGTTCCTGAAGAATTCCATTTTGCTTTTGGAGAGTTCTTTTTAAAGGGTTTGAATCTCTAACAGATAACGTGTAAGTGCTTAAAGGTAATTTCAAAGAAAAAATTGCAAGCTATTAATAACCATAGGCAAGATTGTAACAATTCACTAACAATAAGAGAGATTCAAATGAAAGCAACTCTAGAGTTTTGCCTCACACCCAACAAATAAGCCAATATAAAAGATAGAAAAGAAGATAGATAAAAGATAAGATAGAAATTATCAATGTTGGAAGTGTTATGGGAAAATGGGCATGTTAATACACTGTTGGTGGAGCTGTGAATTGGGCTAAATATTCTGGAAAACAATTTGAAATTATGAGATAGAAGTCACTGTTCATATCCCAAGAAGGTCAAAAATAGAAAGTAAGGTCCCACATATAACAAAATATTCATGGTAATGAACAAAGAAATTGAAAACAAAATGAGAGCCCATTGATTTGGGGACGATTGAGCAAGTTGTATTACGTGATGATAATAATGGGTTATTATTATGCTGTAGGAAATGAAGAATGTGAGGCAATCAGAGAAACGTGGGGTGACTTGTCTGAACTGGTGCATACTGAAGTAAGTAGAACCAGAAAAACAACATACACAGGGACTAAAAGAACGTAAATGAAGAGAACTTTAAAATGAAACTGAACTCTATGTAGTTGTCATGAACCATCTTGGCCCCATAGAAGAGATGAGGGAATGTACCTCTCTCCTCTTGGAGATGTCGGGGAGTATGGGTGCAGAATGGTGCATACGCTGCCAGATGGAGTCCCAAGTGTTGATGGGTTGTGCTTAGCTGTCTTTACTAGTTAAAAGGTAAAGCTTCAACAAAAGGCGTCAGCAAAAATTTTTAAAGGAAAAAAAAATTAAAAGGACTCTGGAAATCCCAGAAGAAATCAATGAATGAAAAGTTTTTATTAAATGCTTTCTATGTGACAAGCACTAAGCTAAGTAGTGGTAATACAAATACAAAAGCAAGACAGCTCCTGCCCTCATGGAGCTTATATTCTACCAGAGTCCTAACATTGTATAAAAAGAACCCAAGTCCTTCGAATTTAATTCTAGAAATCTTTCCACTCTGTGATGCTGCCTCCCCAAGAGACCACAGTTATTCCTTCCACATCATGAGGGTTGGGGCATGGTGCCTCTCCCCCAGCCCGACCTGGATCTGGAAAATCCATGTAAAATTTTTTGGCCCTCCCTTCATACCAGAGAAGAAGAATTATTGTAGCATTATAAGATAAAATATATTGATGTTATACAATATTATACATATATTTTATACATTTCTGAATTTCTGAACTTTTCTGTGTCATTTGCAGCTTCCACAAAACTCCACCAAAATTCCCATTTAATTTCTTATACTGACCCACAATATATCAGAACCACTATGGGGAAAGTTGCGATGTGGAAGGAATAATTGTACTCTTGACCTTTGAGAGAGACCTCAAGATCAAGAGAGGAGAAGGAGGTAAGAGGGTGGTGAGCCTGCTGGGAGTCAGAGGGTAAAAGAAGCTTACCATTTGCCAGTCTCCGCATCCCTGTAGTCTTCAATTGCCAGACGGAGCTTTCGGCGGTGCAAGGAGCTGCACACGCCAAGGCCGGTCTCCAGGTCTTCATCACTCAGACTCAGCAGCACCTGTGCCCAGGAGACAATGGGAGCTCAGGTCCCAGCAGGACTCTTGGGGATCCTGTGCTGGTCCCCTCCTAGGCTACAGAGAGGCATCAGTCTCAGGGGGCATCAGCAGTATGGCCCCCAGCAACTTGGCCCTCCCAGCTGGCCAACGCTTTTCCACTTTACAAAGTCCAATCACAATTATGATTTAATTATGTTTTTGCCATAACCCTGAGAGTAGCTTATAATCTAGATGTAATACACTAATAATGATATGATATAATATGATACAATACAATATAATGTAATATAATGGAACATAATGGAATGTAATACTACATACATAATATATAATATAAATAATAATATGATGTGATAAATGATAATATAACATAACATAATATAATAGCTTATAATTACTTTCCATAATAATGAGTAGATCTTGAAGGCAGGTAGGTCATGGAGGGACTAGATTTGGAATCAAGGTTAGAATCTTGCCTCAAATGCTTAAGTAGCTATTGGACCCTGGGCAAGTCACTTAACCTCTCTAATGACTCAGTGTCTTTATCTGTAAAATGGGGATAATAACAGTACCTAATCACAGGTTGGTTTTGAGGACTGAATCAGATAATATATGAAAAGTATTCTGCAAAGGTTAAAGCACTTTGTAAATGTTTATTGTTATTGGCAGCTTAGGGTGGCTCAGTGGATAGAGTGCTGGGCCTGGAGTTAGGAAGACCTGAGTTCAAATCTGGCCTCAGATACTTGCTAGCAGGGTGACCCTGGGCAAGTCACTTTACTTCTGCTTGCCTCAGTTTCCTCATCTGTAAAATGAGCTGGAGAAGGAAATGGCAAATCACTCTAGTATCTCTGCCAAGAAAACCCCATATGGAGTCATGAAGAGTTGGACATAACTGAACAACAACATTGATGTTATTATTAACATGAGGATAATAACAGCACCTATTTCATTGGGTTTTTTTGAAGATCAAATAAGATAAAGTACCTTGAAAATCTTACAAGTGCAATTATTATCATTATTGATGATGATAACAATTACAATACTACTACCACTACTACTATGAATCCCTTCTTACCAGTCATCGAGAGACGGCTGCATAGCCCAGTGGATGCTGATCAATAAAAGAGCTGTCATTGGAGCAGGGAAGACCCAGGTTTAAGTCTTGCCTCTGATTCATCCCGGCATCTGTGGTCCCGGGCAACAGGACTAGCCCTGTGTGACTCGGGGCTCTAGGCAACTTCTAAGACTATAAATTACTAAAAAGGGGCCAACCTGCACCGGTGGATGGAGTTTCCTCACCTGAGAATTCCCTATACCAACGATCACAGGATTGGTGCCAAAAAAAAAAAAGGATCTTTGTTTTTATTTTACAGATGAGGCAATCAGGGCCCAGATACATGAAGAGATTTACTCATGGTCACACAGCTGGTAAGTTGTAGGCCAGGCACTGAGAAGCTTCTTAGAGCAGTTCTCTTTCCAATATATTTTGCTACTTCATCCAGGCTGGGTATGGGAGTTGCCATTAGTTTTCATTTTCTAGGTCAGAAAGACAAGGCCTTGTTCCAGGTTACACAGTGAGTTAATGAGAGAACCAGGCCTGAAACCCAGGTCTCCCAATCTTGAATACATTCATATCATGAGGCCATGTAGCCCTTCTAGAGAAAGAGAGCTTCTAAGGGAGCAAAATTGTTCCATGTATAATGTGAGCAGCAGCAGCTCCTATTTAAAAAGTCACCAAGGAGAGCAGGAAAGGCCCTTAGCACAGCCCCTTCATTTTATTTACATATGGAGAAAGTGAGGCCCTGAGAAGGGGGGGGTGAATTCCATGGCTAATAAGTGACTGAGCTGGAGGAATTTTGGTGTTCCTACCTTCCCACTCTTCACATTCTCTGCGCAGGCCTTGACATACATGGGCATTGCCATGACCACCTCCAGCCAGGTCTGGACAGTTCCTGCTTTCCAGTGTGACATGGGGGTGGTTCGAACCAGCTCCACTTGCTGCAGCCGGTCCATCTGCTCCTCTCCTTCTGACAGGCTGAGGCGGGTTGGGCTGGACAGGCTGTCAGAGTCTGAAACACACAACCGTGAGGGAGATGCTCATCTTGGAAGCTGGAAGACTGAGAGCTGGTATCTGCCAAGGAGCTGGGGTAAGAGGGTCTGTGTGTGGAGGGGTTTTGCAATGGACTCCCTCTCTAGAAAATGGCATCTCTGACATCCCCAGTGTTCTCTGAGGCCCCTTCCAGATCTGAGGTTGTTACTCTATAATCAAAGAATGAAGAATGTCAGAGATGAAGGGACCTTAGTACAGAGAATGCCAGATCTGCGAAGGACCTTAAAACATGCAGAGTCAGAGCTTAGAACGTAGGGTATTAGAACATAGAATGTCAGAACTGAGAGGGGTCTTAGAACATAGAATGTAATGAGATCCTTAGAACAGATTATTAGAAACAAGGGATGTTAAAACGTCAGAGCTAAGAGAGAAACCTTAGACCATGGAATGTTAGACCTGGAAAGGATGTTATAACATAGATTGTTAGAGCTGGCAGAGGCTTTAGAACACAGATTGTTAGAACATAGAGTTGGGAGAGACCTTAGAAATCATTCATTTATTCCTTAAATTTACAAATGAGATCCAGAGAATACAACTCGGCTCAGAGGCACATAGAGTGACTAATTGGCAGTGGCTGTACACTTTGACAGACAAAATAAAATTAAAATTGTTTCTGATGATTTTAGCAGAATACACCAAGAAAGAGGGGGCAGTGGGATGAGGGAGAGGAGAAGAGAGGGAGGAGGGAGGGAGAGAGGGGAAAGAGAGGGAGAGAGGAAGAGAAAGTATAAGGGGGAAGAGAGCGAGAAGGAAGAGAAGGATGGGGTAGAGGGTTAGTGTGGAGAGGGAGAAAAGAGAAAGGAAGGGAAAGGGGGGGAGAAAGGAGGGGAGGGAAGAAGAAGAGAGGAGAGGAGACTAGGGAGGGGAAGGGGAGGGAAAGAAAGGAGAGGGGAAGGGAGGAATAGGGAGGGAGAGGCAAGGGGAGAGGGAGAGAGAAGAGAAGAAAGGACAGGACGGAAGGAGAGGGGAGGGAAAAAAAAGAGAAAAATACTTTTTACCAAACTACACAGAAATAGGAAACAGAAAACAGAAATCTGTGGAAAATTATATGTATGTATGTATATATGAAGATGCATATTGGCTTAGGGAGGCCGTAAGCTAAGAGCAGTGAGCAGAACCGATTCCTGGAAGTGGGGAGAGGCAGAGAGGACCCCAGGGGAAGAGAAGGGACATCCAGGACCAGGCCCTGCTGGGCTTCCCTTCCTCTGCACTCTGAAATCCAGTTCTGCATCCTTACTTTGCTTTGCTTTGCACCTACTGCAGAGGAAGAGCTGCAGGCCTGATTTTTCGAGAAGCTCAGGCCAGGTTGCAAGGGCGTTGCCATGACACCCACTCCCTCCTTCCCCCATAGCCAACTGTGCCTCCCTGAGTAGGTGAGGGCCTGATCAAGATCACCTGCTGAGGAGGATAGGTCCTGTACCCTAGGGAGCCTGGAGGGACTTGTCCTAGAAAATCAAACTCATAGCATTTTAGAGCAGCAAAGGGTCTTAAGGACACTTAAGGACACTTAGGAGATAGAGCTGGAAGCGGTCTCCCTCCTAACTCTTACAGATCCAGCCCAGATCAGGGATCTGTCACTAACTCACTGGGGAAGTCAATTGACTTCTCTGTACCCCAATTTCCTTATTCGTAAAATGAGGGGAGGGGGTGGTGGAAAACAATCAGAACAATGCTTCAAAATGATTATAGCCAGACTTGTCCCCCAAGAAGAGCCGTGGGAAGGTTCATCTCCCTCACTTCTTTGCAAAGATGGGGGACTCTGGATAGAGAATACTATATGAAGCATCAGACTAACGTCAGTATGTTAGATCTGCTGAACTCCCTTCCCCTCTCCATTTATGTTTTAAAGGATGGCTCTCTGGGAGGAGGGGAGAGGGTAGGATGGATATAGTGGGAAATACATGAAATGAAAACAAAAGATACCAATACAATTAATTTTTTTAAATGAGGGGATTGGACTAGATCAGGATTTGTTAACATTTTTTTTGAGACATAGATTCCTTTGTCAGTCTGGTGAAGTTGATGGACTCCTCAGAAAGATGTTTTTAAAAGCATAAAATAATATATATATATATATATATATATATATATATATATATAAAATAGAAAGGAAATCAGTTATTTTAAAATTCTTATAAAAATATATTTTTAAAAAAATCATATACTGCCATCCCCACTTCCAGGTGAAGAATTTTTGTGCAATATGATCTCTAAGCTCCCATCCAGGCCTTAAATTCTACTATGGAGTACCTATCCTTTGAGAAAACTAGAAAGAGTTAGCATGAGGCAAACCCCATCTTTCTAAGGGATGTGAATTTTATAGGAATGCATTTGCTATGAAAGCTCCCATGCCTTGCTTAAGAGTAGATCACATTAGACTAACTCATTTCCTCCCTTTGTTTTTGACAGGGGGGTTTACTAAGCTGGGAAGCCAGCAGAATCCTAATGATAGAGGTCACTGCAGATTTTAGCCAAGCATTTCATATAGTTTTTCCACATTATACTGGAAAAAATGGTGAGATGAGGACTGGCAGACAGGACAATGAGAGGGTTTCAGAAATGGTTGAATGTCCAGGCCACAGAATGCTGTCATAGTTCCCCAGGTCAGCTAGGCCTGTCCAATAGCATGTCCTGGGGATCCGTTCTTGGCCTGGTGCAGTTCAACGTTTTTATTGATGACTTGAATAAAAACATAGAAGTCAGGCTCATCAAATGCACCCATGACACAAAACTGGGAGGAAGAGATACTACACTGAAGGTCAAAATTAGAATCCCAAAACATCTTGACAGGTCAACATATTGAGGTGGAGTCAATAAGATGAAATTTAATAGGTGTAAAGTCTTATTCTTGGGTTCAAGAAATTGACTTCATAAATATAATATGGGGGAGGTGTTGTTAGATAGCAATTTGTCTGAAAAAGATCTGTGGGTTTCAGTGGACTGCAAGCTTAATATGAGCCTAGTCTCTGGCCCATGGGAGGCATGTAATAAATACCTGTTGATTGAGTTGACTGTGGAATATGGTGGTCAAGAAAGATATTGAAATAATAGTCTGTACCTGAAAGGCAAAATGCACAGGACGAAGGAGAAGGTAGTTCTGTTGTCCACCCTGCTTGGACCACATCTGAAGTCTTACATTCAGTTCTGTCACCATAGTCAGGAAAAGGTAATGATAAAGTGGGGGAGGGGGTATCCAGGGGAGGCCAACCAGGATGCTGAACAGCCCTGAGTCCATGACATAAGAGCATTAGCTGATATAAGAGCATCAGCTGAAGGACTTGGGCATGTTATCCTGGAATACAGAGGACTCGGCAGGGACATGATAACTATGGTCAAGTGTCTGTAAGGCTCCCATGTGGAAGAGAAATGAGCTTTTTCCTATTTGGCTTTAGAGGGCAGAAAAAGGAGCAAAGAAGGCCTATTTGGGCTTAATGTTGGGAAAAACTTTTTCCCAGTTAGAGCTGTCCCAAAGTGGAATGGCAACCAGGAATGGGGAGGGATTCCCTTTCACCTGAGGTCTCAAGGCATAAGTTAGATGACTAATTACTCATTGGGAATGTGGTAGGGGGAGGGTGGTGCTGTATGGGCATCCCCACACTGAAATTTGGAGAATACTGCCTGGAGTCTGGAAATCTTTTGGTCATGGAAAACAATTTTTCTGTTAAGGAATCTGACCTATTTTCTATGATGTATTTCATTCAGAAGTCTTGTCTTCCTTACAGAGAGGGAGTCAGGTCCCATGTTATTAATCCCAAATGGAAAAGAGTGTTTGCTAGTTCACCTAGTGTGTGTGTGTGTGTGTGTGTGTGTGTGTTTGTGTGTGTGTGTGTGTGTGAGAGAGAGAGAGAGAGAGACAGAGAGAGAGAGACAGAGAAACAGAGACAGAGACAGAGAGAGAGACAGAGGCAGAGAGAGAGAGACAGACAGACAGGGACAGACAGAGACAGACAGAGACAGACACACAGAGGCAGAGATAGAGAAAAGAAAGAGAGAGAAAGAGAAAACCAGGTGGTGTGGTTGATAAAAGGCTTGGAGTCAGAAAACCTGAATTCATACCTGACTTCAGATCTTTATTAGTTGTGACCCTGGGCAAAGTCTCTTAACCTCTGTTTATCTCAGTTTCCTTAACTGTTAAGATAAGGCTAATAGCAGCACCTACCTCCCAGGTTTGTCCTGAGAGCTAAATAATTAAATTTGTGAAGCACTTAGCACAGTACCCAGAGCATAGCAGGTGCTAAATAAATCCCGGCTATCATCTTTGACTGCTCATTTGATCAGATTTCTTGCATTTGGCCCTTTCTCTCTACTCACACAGACACTAATGCCCCTAGTCCAGGCCCTCATCACTGGCCACCTAGACTATCACATTAGCCTTTTAAGTAGTCCTAGTGCTTAAAATCACCTCCCACCCCCATCTATCATCTTCCACACTAGTAAAAGTGATTTTTCTAAAGAGCAAGTCTGAATATGTCAACCCCACCATTTCCCAAATCAATAAACTCTAGTGATTCCCTATTACTTCCAGGATAAAACATTAGCTCTTCTGTCTGATATACAGAGCTCTTTACAACCTGACCCCATTCTAGCTTCCCAGTCATGTTATGCATCACTCCCCTCCTTACACTCTACAGACCAGGCAAACCAGCCTTCTTGAACCTTACAATCCATCTCCCATCCCTACTCCTTTGTCCACATTGCTGCAGGTGCCTGGAATGCTCCCTTTCCTCATCTCTACCTCTTGGAATTCCTGGTCTCCTTCAAGGCTTAATTGAAATGCTGCTTTCTAAATAAGGCCTTTCCTGGTTGAAAAATCTCCTAGTGCCTTGCCCCACAAGGTTATATTACATCTGTTTTGTATATGTTTGGCATACATAGATGAATGGATGAATAGAGATAGATAGATAGATGGATGGACAGATGGATGGATGGATGGATATAGACAGATGATAGATAAAGATA